GCTCCGCTCCGGACCACCCTTTTTGGGGTTTAGGGTAGATTGGAGTTCTGTTGGGATAATGGAAAAGAAAATGGAAACAACTATTCAGGGCTTAGGGTTTGGGGTTTAGGGTTATTTTGGAGAACCTAGGCGTTTCCTGAAATTAGGGGTCTCTTTTGGTAGGTCTCCTCCATCAGGATGCCAGCCCGTGGTCATGGAAATTACTGTTCTAGTGAACTGAAAGACTGAAACGGCTCAACATCTTGTACTCAAGGAACCTGCTCCTTTGACCACTGTGAATTACTACAGTCTCCCTTAAGTAGATAGAGTATGGGGTACATGGGGATCTTATTGTAATGTACCCAAAGCCATATTCTATCTACTTAAGGGAGACTATAGGTACCGAGTTCCATTCCTCAGCCTGCTTCCCCCAAAAGCCTTTTCAGATCACCTGGGGACACTTGGAATGGGGTGGGAACAGCAGCGCCGTGCAGGACTGGGCTTGCTTGGTGTTTAGAACTATTTAGCGATATATTGGGATAAGGGAAATAAAACGGAAAGGGGTATACTATTGTATATGGTGGTAGATTATAGTAGACGATTAGACGGAAGTTTCCAAACCGGTCGTTTCAATAACGGCATGAAAGGTTTGGCATTTACTTGTCTCCACTTCAGGCAGTTTAAATATCTTCTGGGTTGGTGGGTTGACGGATCATTTCATCTTGGCAGCATTTCTTTCCATCTAGACTTCGCAAGTCCTAAACCCTAAACCCTATTATAATCCTCGCTGACAGAGAAGCACTTTGCTGGGCTTTTTGCTCCAGGAGCAACTTTCCGGCATTGTGGCCATTGCAGGACTCTTGGCATGGAAAGATGGCTCCCTAACCCTAAGGGTCCAAGGACCCAAATAATAGGGTTTTAGGTCTCAAATGGGCCCTAAAACCTTATTATTTGGGTCCTCGGACCCTTAGGGTAAGTAATTAGAAGCAGAAAGCAAGGAGATCGTTTACGGAATGTGTTCAGGGCCGACGGCGATGGGACCGTCCCCTATACATGTAAATATATACATACTTATTTATTTTTTGATTTCTATATATATATATATATGTATACATATATATACACTCATGTACATATGTGCATGTACATTTGTACATATGGGTCAGGCTGGGGAGAGTGTAGGGTCTGCAGTATGATTTTCAGAGCTTTGAGTTAAAATCAAGACCAAGATATGCAGGTGAAGGCAGATCATGAATCGTATCCCTTGCCATCAGTGACCAGAAACTGGTCACCTGCGGGCCTTTAGGATGGCTGCTTTTAATGAGGGATCTAAGTGAAGAGTTCCTTAGAGCAACCCCCGTACAATCCATGCGCAGCTCCTTTAGCTCAATTATGGTGATCCTGTATGTCGAGATCTAGGGTAACTGGCGGAGCGCCTTTTTGGAAAGACCTCAACTCCCTCAACCCACAAACCCTGCGCCTTGTGCAAGAAAACCCATCTAATTCTGAAATGCCAGTGCCATCCCTCATTACATGCTTCCAGAGAGCCTCTATCAGACCCTACATGATCCTAATGTAATCCTCATTCCTAGCAGTCCTCATCTTGGGACGCCTGGGGCAGGGCCCAGGATTAATTGAAGCTTCTGGGAAGCCATGCTATCAAGGAGCCTCTGAGTCTTCCCTGAAATGCCCTTACGATCCTTTTATACGATCCTTCAAATCTAGTTGTCCCATATTCTCGAATTCCCAAAATAGTCTTGTGTAATGGCGTATCCGCCGGAAGAGCAACCTTGAAGCTTTCCAGGCTCAAAGCCTTGAGCTTTTATCTTGAAGCCCTTTCCTCTAAACTCAGAGGTTTGAAGGCCAAAAACTAGACAGATGGCGGAACGTTATCCGGATAAGAAAGGCCCTTAAGGCAACAGCTGTTCTATAGCTCCTTATCAACCCCCCTCACGGCTCTTGTTTTTGTTTTCGGCAAACACCCTTGTAAACCCTGATTGCTCCCGTCTCTCAAAAACCTCGGCAAATTGAAGATCCTTATCATGAAGCCCATTGTATTTGCATGTTTGGGAAGTTTCATGCCTTAAGTCTTGTGAACCCCAGACCCTGAAACCCTAAACCCCCAACGCCACTTAAAATCAGTCCCTAAAATCCCTAAGCCCTAAATCCAACAAGGGTCTAGCCGTGCCTTCGCAGCGCTGCGAAGCGACGGCAGCGTAGTAGCTTGGGGCGACGAAGTGCCTGGGCTCCAGGTTTTTCCATTGTTTTATGCTCAACGTTTTAGGGAATAGGGTTTAGAATGCGCAGTTCTGGGGTTACCAAAAAGGATTCCGTATAGAGGCCCAGGAAGTCTTACCATAGGATTCCTCGGAACCAAGATGAAAAGATTACTTCATGCCTAACTGCAGGGGAAGGATTGCGGGCTTAGTGGTTTAACATCGTCGCCTCCATGTTCTTTTCCATTATTCCCGCTATATCAACCCTATCTGTCTAATCTATCGTCTATCTATCTATCTATCTATCTTTCTATCTATGTGTGTCTACGTGACCCAATGTAACTGTGTAGAGAAAGTGCAGGATAGTGTAACGAAGCGGTGCTTCGGACTTGGGGTTCAGGGTTTGTAGGGCTCAGGGACGAGGAGTCTAGAGATGCAGAACTTCTAGTTTTCAGGGTCGGGGACTTCTCGAAACGAGTGCAGGCTAGTTTGCGGGGGTTACGATTGCGAGGACTGCAGATCATGGATTTAGAGTTTATATGGCTCCAAGCTTCGGGTTTCTCCATAACCTTGCAGGAGATCTTGCTCCATCAAGTTCGTTTCCTCCTCCTCCTGCCGCCATTCCCAGTCGTCCTCCAGCACCGTGTGCTGCTCCATTTGCTGCTCCATTTGCTTCATTGTCTGCTTGTGCTACTTGGGATGGTGGCTAGAGCTGTACACAATGCTGACAATCGCTGCCTTCATAATGATGCATCTACGCAGTCATCCCATCACCTGAGGATTCCTTCTAGGACAGTCCTCCCAACCTCAGGAATTGATAGAAACGATCAGCATGGCCGTAGATCATCCTGTGCTTCAAGCTCCTGAGCTCCAAATGACTTCTATACCCAGTCATCTTTGGCAGGAGTTTGGCGGGGACCCTGCCGACAAAGCCAAGAGGCTCGGAAAACCAGGGTACAGGGGCACTGTCTTCTGCCAATGTGGTGGTCTGACTTGACTGGCTTTTGGTCAGGTCCTCATGTCTTCTTGCAGATCTTGTTTGTCAACTCCTGACAGTTCTTGTCACATCACGTGAGCCTCAGTCCGAGCCATATAGTTGGTATCCTGCCACCTTGAGATAGAGCCGCTCCTCTGGCCCTTGAAGCATCTCTGGAGACAATGGCTCGTGCATAGGATTCCTAAATGCTAACGGGCGCTTTTCACAGTTTCCGGCCCCCAAGATATGCGACATCGTGGGAACTGATGGGCAACTGTCGCTTGCGTTTCAATGCTAGATTCCCAAGCATCTAGGGCCACTAACCCCAAACCTTGTAACTCCAATTACCGAGAGTTTTCTTGGTTATACCCACTGGGTAAAGGGTAATTACTACTAAGTTGTCGGTAATTGGGAGTACAGGCACGCTAAACCTCAGACTCGTGCCGCCAAGCACCTTTTGTCTTGATGCAACGTGAGCAGCCTGTACCCCCGCTCCCCACCACACCCAGAAATAACAAAACCCTTCAAATCTGCGGGGGCCCGAGATCCAATACCCTCAGCCCCACATCGCATATCCTGATCCCTACATCCCAGTTGGAAGCGCCAGTGTTTCCAATAAGATGACGACACCAGCAAGTATGCACCACATGTCAAAGGCCTGATTGATCCAGCATCAGACCAGCACTGGGTCTTTGATGCACACCTCTACCCAAAGCCCTGAACCCTTAGCTTAGCCCTGAGCCTAAACCCTGAACCCTAAACCTTGAACCCTGAATCCCAAACATCAAGCCCAACCCGAAACCTTGAGGTCTAAACCCTGCATCCTTAAACGTTCGAGGCTGAAGGGAGTCCGCAGTCTCGTGGCTTCAAACGGAGCCTTCGCAGCCATCCTTAATGCAGGAGGTGCCATATCCACAGCCCATTTGACAGTGACTCCATTTGACTTATTGTCAATCTTTGGGTTACTAAGGGGCCATTAAGTGAGGGGTGGACAACAAGGTCCCTTGAGTGGTTTAGTATGGTCCCTCATTCTTGCCAAATAAGAAACCCATGTCCATTCATTAAATGGGAAATATTGATGGTAACTCATATGGGGGATCCATCAAAGTTAGGGGTACCTTTTGGGGCCCTAAAACAAGGATTATAGCACTTCGGGGTCTATATTGGGATCCCCCTATTTAGGGACTACCATGACTACCGTATGCATGTATACACACCAAATTGCCGGTGCAGATGCCAAAGTGTGTCTACATGCATCTCAAGAGCACGACAGAAGACTCCAGCAGCAGCCAAAGTTCTTCGAAGATCGCAACTTCCACAAGCCGGAACTCTGGCGAGAGTACAGTTTTGAGCCAACATGCAAGGACGTTCATGCCAGAGCCACGGAAGTGGCCGTGTGCTCCGCATGGCTACGATAATCTATTTCCTTTGCTTTATGCCAGAATTCGCCACTGTCGTCACACGGTCTGCAAACTTTTGGGATATGTGCATTGGACATCTGATTGCCTTCGGTGGCTTGCGAATGGCAAGCAGGAGGGTTTATGACTTTGTCTACCTGTTATGGTGTTTGAGCCCTTTGGGGTTCATCCCGTGGAAATAAAGAAGCCCTGAATTCCTACGCGATGCCAGGATGACCTGAATGTAACACGACTTCACAACAACTTGAGGCATCAGAGTGCCCACGACGGACGTCAGCTGTCAATCTGCGCAACGCCGTAGTTCTGCTGTCCTGTGCGTTTGAGTTCCCACACCTTGACTTGCCTTCAAGATACCTTTCGTACCTGGATGGGTTTAGTTTTCAAACCTTGAAAACAAGAAGAATGGCGGAGGCGTGGTGGCCTGGGGTGATCCACACTGGGGTGGCGACTGTTCGGGTGAACAGGACCACCTCAAGGCCGGGCAGCAAGTTGATCTTTTTGGGGATTCTCCAGGTTGTGGGTCATGGGTGTTTGTATGGAGTTGATGATGGGGTTGTGAAAGGCCATCTGTGGGTTTAGCTAAACTACGTGTGAACGCTGGTGGTCTTGGGTACCATTTTCGGGGTCCCCAGAGTAAGGACTATAGTATATTGGGGTCTATATTGGGGTCCCCCTATTTTGGGAAACTACCATTTATGTGGTGAGACTTTGCCTTTCATAAGTTCTCTCATCCCTCGTCTGATGGATCTGATGGGTTAGTTGAAATGATCGTCCATTCCAGTCATGGCTCAAGCTGTAAGTTGAATGAGCCATACTCTAAGCTCCCCAAAGGAGGAATTATGTAGGGATCCGCTAGGGGAGTACTATAGGAGTTATTAAGGAGGATCCTAGGAACTTAGACTATGGCTCAAATGGGTGAGGACAGTTCCGGGGCTGTTCAGACAAGAGGGTCTCAATGTTGAGCTCCATCGAAACCACTCATCATCCCGTCCTTACAGCCCCTATAAGCCTTATCACAAACCACCGGGCTTACATCTGGACCCTGATTGCCTGATTCCACAGGCTTCTGAAGCTCAGCTGCCCTAAGTAATCCTGGAAGCCGAAGCTGCGATTCCGGTATCACTTTAGGATCGCTGTGCTGGGACAACAAGAAGCGTGTTTCCACTGTACTTCAATCCAGACCTTGTTACGGCAGAGATGATTCTTGATGGTCTGTGGAGTCGGGCAGAGGCGGCAGCTCTGCTCGAGATCAGCTGACTGGTCATGCGCGAACCGTGATTCACGAAATTCTTGCTTTGCAAAACGCTCAACTGCACCCACAAACTCCAGACCCCCAAGCCTTCAATGTGTGGAGGACGTTGAGTCCATAGCCGCCTCGGATGCAGCCTTCGCCGCTCTGCGCGGAGATGGCACTGCCCCTCAACTGTTGACGAGAGTTTAGCTTGCAGCTAGACATTCATCTCACTCTGGCCCAGAGAAATTCAAAGAGCGATAGCAAGAACCCTTCATCAGGAACTCTTGTTTTCTATTCGTCTTGTTTGAGAACGAGAACGCCTGATACATTATAGGATTTCAGGAAAAGCAGCTGAAGTGGTTCATGCTTCCGGCAGTAGAAATGGAGTCTCTGTTCAGTCCTAGAGCCATAATCTACATGGTGGGTAAGGAAGGCAAAATCATGGCAAGTTTGGCGGGCCTTAAGGTAGCTTGGGGCTTTAGGATAGACCTTGGGATCAGGGTGTAGCCTGTGTGCCAGGGTAATTCTCCATCTATTATTTGAGAACAGCGGAAGGCTTTACGAACTCATGGAGGCACCTAAGTGACTTCAAAGCGCGTATAGAACAGCATAGTGTAAGAAACCTACACCCCAAACAGGCGACATTTTTGGCAAAAGCAACTCATAACTTGCGCCCCTGGCGTGAGCTGCCACAAACAGTAGAAACTGTGATGCAACATGCTGGACTAGGCTGGCTGCTATGCTACCTGGTGCCCAAGAGGGAAGGATGGCCTGGATGCCGATAGTAGTCCCATAGACTTCGCTAGTCCCCTTCCCCTCACCGAGGTTGTAACCTGGGGTCATCAAAACCGTGGCGGCGACTGCCGATACTTCAAGTCACCTGGTCTTGCAGGTTGTTTGTGTTGTCGGTGGTACACAGAGGTAGTACACAGAGGAAGACACATGTAGTCGTGATAATCGCTCCAAGGAAGAGCCAAGATTTCCGTGTGTTGAGCTGGTATGATGCAGAGTCCAAGCTACAGCTGTGTTTTTCAACAGCAGAATAAGAGCCCCTGTTCGGGTGCCGGTCCAAAGAAGAAGGGGTGGATGGAACTTGCAGACGTTTTCTGTGTGTTTTTGGCATGGATTCCCTGGACTAGCACCGTACTGTCCCTAGATGTGGGCTCGTTTACAATATAGTTCGGTAGCATTGCATCTCCACAAGAGCTTCTACTGACCTACATTAACACTATGGTGCACTGTCGCTCTTAAGCTTGGGGCTTCCCCAAAGCAGCCCAGAACTCAACCAAGAGGCCTCTACCATTATAGGTAGCGATGAACATATCTGAGGACAGGGTTTGTTCATCAATGCCTTGACTGATGAAACAAACCCCAAGTTGGTTTGGTCCCCCCCCCCTTCCCCCTTACCATACTTTTTGGTAGGGCATAGCACAAGGCAAAGGTTTGCAGGTCGGTTGCATTTCGCACTACCTATAGCAAGTATGTTATCAGTTTTGCCGCGCGAACAGGGGACTGTTCGCTATGGATAGTCTTGCCCCATCAAGATACCTGCTGAAGACACAAGTCAGTGGGGTCTCTCCCTCGCGCGTGCCTCCCCTTATTTCGTGACAGTCCGCGGGTCCCGTTTGGGGGCCCAATACAATAGAGCACCTGCTACTGTGGGGCAGTTGCAGGGATCCTAACCAGGAACCAAACCATGACGGCGCATAGTGAAAACTAACCTTTGCAGCCTTCGGATGGCTACAGCGTGGCCAGGTGCAATTCCTGTCAACATGTGTCATGGGGCTACAAAACCTTGAATGTTTAGGCAAGATTGCGGGATCCTAGGGGCCGATTAGAGGACAAGAAGCAAGGCAAGTTGAGAAGCTTTCAGATCGCCACTAGAGATAGAAACTTGTGCCATTTGTAATGGGTATCCAATATATGAGAGGCCGTATCATGATGGGAACTCAAGCAGGACCCACAATTTTTGACCACCTGCCATTTAGACAAAGTCTCGAGTCCTTACAACCTTCCTTTCGTGCCAAGTGGCTGCCCTGTGCCTTCTGGCCATCCTCCTTTGGGAAACTTGTTGCCCAGCGTCGCCACATGCTTAAAATGCTCTGCTTTCAACTCCTGACCCTGCCCGCCCGAACCTGCGAGCGAGCAAAAGACCCAAATCCCAAACCTCAATTGCAATAGCCAGCCAACAGCGTTTAGGTCCGAGCTCTACGATGTGCGTCAGATTGTCGGGTCTAGCAAAGCCTTTGCAGCTCTCCGGGGCGATGGCAAGGCGCATGGTGCGCTTTGGGTGGGATTGATGTGGAGGGGTCATGCAGGGCAAGTAAGCCACGCGAGAGGTTCAATGAAGGATATCCCTAAACCCCAATCCCTAGACCCCGAACCCTGAAAGCCCTGTGCGCCCTAACCCCCGAAGCCACAAAACCAGAGCCAGCTTTTTGCTCCAGGTAATTTGCTGGGGCCGCCTCGAAAGTGAGTTTGATGCTGCCATCCACTGCCGCGATGTCAATGAGGAGCTGCGAGATGCTGCTGAAGCCAGTTTGATTAAGGGTTTGGTGGTTGTGAGCTTGTGGGAGTTTAGGATCTAAGGGCTTATGGTTTCAGGATCCAGGGTTTTTGGGTTATCCATGTCTAGGGCTCTGGGGCCCTGTTTTTGGGGTTTAGGCGTCTTGGCGGTTTCTGATACTGACAGGGCCCTGTTTGGGGGGTTCTTCCGTTGGAGGATAGCGCGTTGGGGGTACATAGGCGGCCTTGTTTTTGACCAGCACCGGTGTCTTAAGCTCGGTGATTGTGGGGGGAAGCATCACAACAGGAGCGAGTTGTATCTCAGGCGTGCTGACTACAGTGACTGCAGCGCAAGTGACTTAGCATACCACCTCCGTGGCTGGTACTGTATGGTACAAGAGGAGTCCACAAGGATCCGAGTGCTGAGAAGAGTGGATCGTGGTGAGGACAACTTGCTGGTGGTTAGTGGGGAACAAGGGAATATGCACCCTAGATCATCCCTATAGAATCTTTCCTCAAACTCTAAACCCGGTAATCCCTGTGTAATACACACCCTTAGTCCATTGTAACCACCAGTAGGATATGTTCTGGGATACTGCTCAAGAAGGCACGTAAGAAAAATGAGGAGAGCAGTGTCCAAAGGACATTCCGCCCGGGCACTTTAGGGTTCACGGGTTTAAGGGTTAGGGTTGTAAGACCTCGCTAAAGTCCCGATTAATCAAGTTGAGCTGCGTCCACATCATCCAAACCCTCAAGCGCACTCAATCCCATTTCTAGCTGCTTGACATTGGCCACTCCTAAATAATCAGCCCTAAGATCAAAGAAGGGTAATTTTCATCGCCTACCCTAAACCATCCTTTTGTAAGCGGTCGGCCATAAACAGACGAAATTAGGTTTCTCAAAAGCCGTTGAGGGTGCCCAGCATTTTTTGGGCATCAGCTGAGGTCCAACAACTGGCAGCGACGAATCGGGCCTTCGGTGCTGTGTGCGCGGATGGTAGTGTGGCAACTCGGCCTGCAACAGGGCTTGGGCTGAAGGGTTGGGGCGCACGAAGAGTATAGATAGTAGTCAGAATGGTAACAGTGCTTGGATGTAGAACTTTGGGCTCTTATAGACCCTAGGTCCAAGCTCCAGCCCAAGTTTCAGCCCACGTGTCCGCATGCCCTTCAGCCCCAAGCAGACGTCTTGCATCTTAAGCCCTTAACCTCCAGCCATAAGTTCCAGGCATTGCAGGAGCCTAGGTTGGCTTACTGGTCGATAGCAGCAACAACAGACATGAAATCTTGTAGTAGTATAGACCACTTGAGTCCGCCCAAGTGCCACGCCGCTGAGTTCACTTCTGCAGGACTTCAGTCAGGATGGCTCCCAGGGTTTAGGGTTTAGAGATTTAGGGAGCCCATCGACTTAGAGGTCTCCCCCGCTGTCCAGCAGGTCCACTTCTGCACGTGCTCAGTGTAAGGGGAGAAAGTCCATGAGGTGAATGCCGCGGGAGAGCAATAGCACCAGGAGCATTAGTGATGGCAGTGACACGATTACCGGATGTAGCAGTTCGAAATGCGAGACAGTGCTCAGGTGACTTGGGGAGCGCCAGAGTATGGCGGAGACAGCAGCAAGGCCCACCGTGTTCGAAGGTGGTAGCGTTGTTAGTGCCAACATTTATTTGACATACTACCCCCCACCACCAGCGCCGCCTCCACTACCACCATCGCCACCACTGCCGCCACCCCCGTCGCCACCCCCGCCGATGCCAGTGACGGTGCAGATATGATGGTATAGTCGCCTGGCAGTTCTGGGTTCATTTAGGCCGTGACTGCGAACTTGTTGTTGAGGATGACGGGATTAGATTCCAAGAGGGCTTTGCAGAACTCGTGAATGCCAAGGTGTTTCCAGCTTCGGTTATATTGGAGCTCCGGGATGAATCCTTGGGATTTCTTCTTCATGCATGAGCACCACAGCGCTCATCGGGTTTTCAAAACTTATCGTGGAGTGCCACGGGGCGACACAATGAAGCTGGTTCATTGGCGTGGGATAGTCCCTTCCCCCGACAAAACCACCCCCGCCCTCTAATGAGAAGTACTTCCAATGTAGAGCCTATGTACAGAGGGGCAATATTTAATCTCAGCGGGGATGGGGTTCATTACCAGGGGCATGCAATTAGAAATTCTCCACAACTGTCGCTTTCAAGGCCATTCGAGGGAGCAGCCTTTTGAAACCTCTACCCAACACCCTCCTCGCGCCTGAATTTGGAAACCCCGAATGTCCCAGAAGTGCCATATTGTCAGAGGTGCAAGATCAGCTCCGCGACGTTCACGGCTTCCGCTGTACAACGTTACCTGGCTTGCCATCTGTGTAAAGAAGGGTTCAGGCTGAAGAGGTGAAATTTCGAGCTTGTTCGCTTGTGGACCCAGTTTTCAGCACTGGAGTCTGTTCGTGTTTTCAAGGTCACCACGCAATGATAGATGTGCTCGTGGTTCAAGCGTCCAGGTGTAGAGTGCATTGATGGGTATAGGTCAGCCAGGATGATCAGCCAACATTCGAGGGCTTATTCACTTGTCCGCAAGCTCGCGCCTCAGAGACTGAGAGCTGTTTGAGATGCTCCTGAGGTTAGGCATTTTTGCCAGAAGTCGGGACCGAAAGTCTCAGCCGACAAGTTTCCCTCAAGTGGTCGAAGCATTAATGGATATTGTCACCTGAAGGTAAGATTCTAGCAAGCATGGTTCAGACTTGGGCCCTTGATCTACGTGTGTTCAAGGATGACTACTGTCCCAGCTCCAAGCGTCGGTACCTTTCGCGCACGCGGAAGGAGCAGATTGCATGCTCATTTCGAAGCTCACATAGCCGACATAATGCTAAGACCCCAAGCCCAATTATAATATAGTAGTTTCCGTTTCATTTTCCATTATCCCAATATATAACCCCAATATAACCCTAATATGATCCCTATATGAACCCTATATAAGACCCCAAGACCCCACCACGCGAAAGTAGACCACGCGCTCAGGAAGAGACCAAGGCCAGTGGTGGAAGACTGGGCAGCGCCCTTTGCACGCAAACTCCTCCGAGCAGAGCGAACGATCAAAGGGCGCCAAGGGTCTATTGGGGGTTTAGGGGATATATAGGGACTATATAGGGATATATAGAGTTTAGGGTATCGGGATTAGGGGTACCGCTTTGGGGGGTCCCCTTAATAACACCATCTAAGACCTAGGCTTCATGCTTCTGCCCACCTGTTTGTTCAGTTCTCCATTGTAAGAGCAAGTCATCTTAATGTAGAGGTTGAGTGCCGAAACAGAGCTACGGTGTGAGGCTTCAGGTAAGGTAGGCTATAGCCTCCTGTAGGATCGGATTCTTGTTTCTCATCCCTGATGAGCTTTTTGGGCTCAGGAGGAGAGGGTTGAGAGCGACATCCAACAAACTATGATGCAAGTAGTTTTGACAAGGGATCTGAAAGGGCTGCATTAGTTCATCGCATGAGGCTTAAGTTATCAAGAACGTCCGGGAGAAATCAGATCGTGCTCATTGCATAATGTAAAAACTTTTATCGTATAGGACATGTATCACTGCTGACCGTGGATATACATTCTACTTGGCCTACGTTTCACTTCCGCAAACCCTCTCGACCAGATCAATCGCGTCAGACTTGTCACAATGGCCAGTCTGTGGCACATCAGTTACTAATCATTATTAGCCTTTGTAAGGGACCCTGAACCGTGGACATAGGGGTCCCTCTTGTAGTTTAGTATAGTCCCAAACATAGTCCCTCATAATAAGGAACCCATGTCCGTTAAGTATCTGGGAAAAATGTACTGTAGCGCACAAGCGTAGTGACTCGCGATGTCTTTGATCTTAGAAAGGTTGCCGTGCTTTCAAAGGATGGGATCCCCTTTGCTGTGTAAGTCCCTGCAGGCAGGGACCATGTTTTAAGATAGGCAGACATCGATTCTCTTGAGCCTGAACTGCTCTAAACGATCCAGGGCAAACCGGAATCCTAGAAAGCCCACCATTTAGCCCAGATAGTACCGACCCAAGCCTTGTTTGAGTAGAGACATTGAGTGCGTAGGCGCAGATCACTATGCTGAAAACTGAAAACAAACCTTTGAGCGCTTAAAGCCCTGCAGCACCCAAAAAGCAGCTGGAAGGATGTGAAGGGCTCCATGATCGAGGACCTTCCCACTCTGTTTTGTGAGGGTTGTGAGGGGATGTGAGGGGCTGTTGGGGGATGCTAACTCGTGCGGTTCTTGGCTGAGCATTCTGGGCTGTTTTTAAAGTTCTGGGACTTGTATAACGTGATGGTTGAGGAGTTCGAACTATGCCGGCAAACGCGTCACTTACCCGAGAAAATGTTCTGTCAATCTTTCAACAGAAGGATACGGGAAGATGGACGCCAATCAGGATTTAGAATGCCAAGCACAGGGTGTTCCAGACGTAGTGTTGGGTGGGTGTACCTGCGTCAATTGTTGAGGCTATCTACAGCCTCTCCCATCTCTTTACAAACCATAGAGGCTGCTGCCGCCGGCACGTGAATGAATTTGCATGACGCAGAAGAAACGCAAAAACGTATTTTACCTCGAACGTGACTCTGTTCACGCATTCTTGGACACCCCAGTCTACTCCTGCAGAAGCACTACACCCGGCCGTAAAAGGTACACACACAAAATTATCAGCCCTGACCCCGTACAAGCTACAGGATTGCATTTTTCCCAGGCGCCCGCCGCGCCTGCTGCTGACAATCGCCGAGGCTGCGAAACATTTTGCAGGAATACGCGGCGGATGCAACAGGTTGTGTAGACGTTTAAAGTTGAGGGCTTCGAGTTAGAGCACTAGAATACCAGCAATTGGGAGCTGCCTGGTGTGGGGAATCCTTGAGTTTCATTGCGACAGAGCCATGCTCCATTATGTGGGCGTTATACGCTATTTTCTTGGGGGTTTCAGCCGTGCTCTACTCGGCGACTCGGGACCGAGACTACGAAGACAATGTGGAAGTTTAATAGCAGTCCGCATTGTTGCTCTGGGTCTGAAGGTTCTAAGGTCTAAGGCTTTTGCCTTGACTCTTAGCAGCTGGGAGCACATGGGGTCATAGATAGGGTCACTTTGCAATATACTTAAAGGGTTTCATCTCCGTTCTGGCGAGCTGCTTTTGAGAGATTCGGAACTTAAGCTTCTTCTCATATGAATGAGTTTCCAAGAATATTCTTACAGCAGCCGTGCTAGACGACAAAGAGCGCAGAGGATAACTGGGTGTAGCATTTCAGTATGTTGAATCTAGAACACTTCTCACGTCTGATGCTTTCTGCGTCGTGGGCCTGCAACATAATTCTGCGCCGTAGAGTTCGGGCTACTCCAAAGTCTCAGAGTTTAATGGCTGTCAGAACCCTGTTTCACACAGAGAGTCCTTCAGGTAAAGGGCATGACATGTGGGAATTGCTCTCAGCAGACCTGCAGCTTGCGTCGATTATGCACTCTGCCTTCATCGTGCTTGTTGCCTGATCCTACGTTTGGCCAAGCCAAGGGCTTTCGAGTGTGGACTTTGAGGATCCATGGTTTTATAAGGGTTTGGATCTGAAGTCATGCTGAGATTTTGCAGCGACAGCCCTTGCTTGTAAACTATCTTTCCAAGGGATCTGACCTGACAATAAGACTTCAATAAGACCACCCTCCAGATCTTGTTTGGCGTTTTTGGTCTACGGATGGGAGGGGCGGGTGGGGGGGATCGCAATCGAGCTGGAGGTAGGACTAGGTAGTGCAGCTCGCAGTACTAGTAGTACACGTAGAAAGAAATCTATTCATCACCGGGAAAACATGGGGCGAACAATATTAGTATTGTCGCTGGGGTTTTCTTGCCGATGGAACTTGTTTATAGGTTTTCCGGCTCCGAACGTGTTACAAAGCAAAAGAAGTCTTTACGAGTTTTCAGGCCCCTTTATTAAGGGTAGGTTTAACCTGTGTTGGTGCTGCTACCGTGCGGATGCGGGGGGAGCCTGCCATGAATGAACTACCTTCAAAGCCGGATGCCTTACCATTAGACATGCGCATTGCTGTGCGCCATGAAAGGTCACCCCAAGAAAAGAACCATCTAGCTAGCAGTAGTAGGGACACTGTTGTGCGCGTCCTTATGTTAAAACTAACAATTTGGCTTTGTTACGCATGTTGGCACTTGAAAATACGAGATTTTTCTTTCAGCTGCTCAAATGGGAAAACGGAACTGCAGACCCAGGGCTTGGCCTGGACTGGCTTGAGCTCTGGCTTAGCTTATGTTTGCAGCCGCGGGCTGTCATGCCACTCCGCAAGAGCTCCACAACCCATGCTTATGCAACTGTGCGCATCATGTCTTCTATTCTACTTGCCACAACGGGAACTTGGTTTGCACAAAGAAGTGCAAAGCAGTTTCGCGAGCAAGACGGGCGAGGTGCACGTGCGCCGGTTGCATCCACTGACCATGTGCGCATGGAAGGACTCTT